TATGTGAAAAGAGTTAGTCCACGCTCTTCCGAAAGTCGTGGGTTTTCTCCGGGTACTCTTGTTTCCTCCCACAGGGAATGTTGACAGGGTGGGTTGGGGTTAGCCCTCTAACGGACCCTTCAAATCCACCGTAGCTGTGCTGAGTGGCCAGACATGAGTCATAAGGTGGCTGCAAGAGGCGTCCTTAGTAAGCCTTCGACTGGATCAGGTTGAGCTGCGTCCTTCGCAATTCAGCTTAGCTCTCAGCAGCAAGTAAGGATGATTAATCAGCTTACCCCACTTACTTACATGAAGTTTTCATAGCGAGCCGTTATTTGTGACACTGCCTCTAGTTCAACGTTTCTACTGTTTTATTAGATTTCCGAACGCAGGCAAGTCGACCTTGTTGCGGGCAATTTCAAATGCCAAACCCAAAGTGGCAGAGTACGCATGTAAGTAAACTTTGATGTCAGAAGAATGCATATATTGTTTATATTTACTTCACGTAATCGAAATTTATTGACTATCCTTTGTTAGTTACGTCACTCAGTCCAGCGTTAGGAAGAATGCAGTTTGATGATTTCAGTCAGGTTAGTTTTACCCTTAGTAAATTTTGCAAAGTTGTGTCATGTTTCCATCTTTCTACTTTTTACGTCAGTGGCGTTCCCTAACATAATATAGGTTTAAGTTGTGGAGTCACACGGCATACTCTTCATGTGCCGAACTTAAAGAATCACAGTCAACCGTGATGCTTCGCGCGCGCTATGTAAATATTTATATAAATGACATTGCACCCTTGTTAGACCTGTTCATAAAATAAACTGTAAATAACTAATAATATACATTAGCTTTATTTTTAACAAAAAACGTTAAGACATTTACCCGGTGTTTTTTGATGAAATCCTGATAAAAGAGAAACAAACAACAAAATACAATAGAGAGGTTCAGATTTGACTTCCACAACAGCTACCATTATATATTTAACAACTATAAAACATTTTCCGTGTTGATATACAGTTATATCAACACGAGTGGAAATTGGAAAAACGAGAAATTGTGTGGTTTTATATTTGTTTTATAATATTGTACAAAGAAATATAAAGAAATAAATTTTCCGACGTTTCCGTGTTGACATTGAGTTATATCAACACGGCTCTTAGCCAATCAGCGTTCAGAATTTACAAATGCTATATTATATATATATATATATATATATATATATATATATATATATATATATATATATATATATATATATATATATATATATATATATATATATATATATATATATATATATATATATATATACTTCCTAGTTACTTATACTGAAAATAATTTTGTATTCCATTCTTTATAGTTGACAGTGGTTGATCTGCCTGGTTTAATAGAAGGCGCGCATCAAAACAAAGGACTGGGGCTCAAATTTCTACGCCATATTGAAAGGGCAAGGATGTTGATGTTTGTGGTAAATAAATATGGTTTTAACACAGCTAGATCTCACCCTAGTATTGTAGTGTAATGTGATAATACCATACATAAAGCCAAACTTTTATATACTCCTCCACTAATATTAATTTCAGACATGATTGAGGGCGGTTATTTGAAAGGGGGAAGCTTAATAGAGAGGGAAAGCTTAATAGAGAGAAGCTTCATAGAGAGGGGAATCTTGATAGACAGGGGAAGCTTAATAGACAGGGGAGCTTAATAGACAGGAGAAGTTTAATAGACAGGGGAAGCTTAATAGACAGGGGAGCTTAATAGAGAGGGGACCTTAATAGAGTTGGGAGCTTAATAGAGTGGGGAGCTTAATAGAGAGGGGAAGCTTCATAGAGAGGAGAGCTTAATAGAGAGGGAGCTCAATAGAGAGGAAAGCTTAACAGCGAGGGAGTTTAATAGAGAGGGCAGCTTAATAGAGAGGAAGTTTAGTAGAGAATAAAGCTTAATAGAGATGCGAGCTCGTGCATATTTGAGGGACTGTGGAAGAGTAAGTTGCCAGTGCGTTGACATGAATCTTTATAGAGTTGTTCATTATACACACATTTAGGTGGATGTCAATGGATTTCAGCTCTCAAGTAAGCATCCAACGAGAACAGTATTCGAAACGATTTGTTTACTGGCTAACGTATGTATAACCACAGAAATGTTTTATTATTGTTCATAAGCTGCTGTTTGGTCTTAGGGCTTAAATTTAGGCTAAGGAATACCCATTGACTCGTGTCACCTAGAAGAATCTCGTACCAAGGGCCCCAAATCTACACTTTGCTCCAGGGTCTTAGCTAGAGGGCCGTGTTGGCCGTGTTATCGCGGCCAGAAGTGCAAAAACACGGCTAGATAAAATGAACGCGGCTTCACCATTTATATAAGGCCGTGTATATAGGTTCATAAAATAAGGTTGTGCTATACTTACAACAGACAGAATTTCTTCCTATTTACGTCAAGAAAATTTGTAGAATCTACTGTTGTTGTTGAATTGGCAAAAGTGATCCGTGATGTTTTAATGTTTTGATGGATAATGGGAACTGTATGGTGTTCAAATGGTTTTAATTTTGTTGAAATAACTTAATTGTCAGTGCGCAATATGAGCGTATGCTCGCCTTGTATTTGGCTGCAAAGCATAGAACAACCACAGGCATTGTTGTTGGCGAGCATAACTAGAGCCATTATTTTGCTATTCAAAGTAATTGACATGTGCACGCCCTGGTCATTAGAAACACGCCCAAGATCTAAAATCCTAGCTAAGACCCTGTTCACCAACAACCAAATTTTGCATCTTCTAAAACGGAGCGTAAAAAAGAGGCACATTTTATCCTCATCCGTTTCGCATTTTATTCCCATATCCGTTCCATGGATCCGCTTCCGCATTTTAACCTAGGTGTGACATGTTTCACAATAACAAGTCTCATTGACCTTTGATTTATTCCCAATGTTCGCATGTATTCAATAATGTCACTTTAGATTTCAATATTTTGACAGTTATAGCAGTGTTTATAGCAGTTTTGACAAGCTTTGATACAGATAGATTCTCGCAAGATCTGATAGAGTTCTTGTTGCACTGAACATGAGTTTGCGCCGTTGGCGTTGTGCTACAGTGCTAGACATGTAAACAAGGTCCGTGACGGTGCGCGTAAATCTGTGGTGTAGCACCTTATACAGTCGATGTATAATGAATATACGATCTAAATAATGTCGGTAATACATAACATCAATTTATATATTGCGTAGAATCTCAAACATTTTCTCAATATTCATGTTTGAAATGTTTATATATTTGAAAACAACACTGTCTCACTCCATCCTAGCTCTGTATTTGATTGAACTGTATCATATTGCGTAGATTCTCAAAGATTTGATACTGGAACTAAAAGACCTTTGTTAGAGATCCAAAATAACATCTCGTGTACTTTCACACACGCTTGGTTGAATCGGATTAATTTGCATATTCATAAATCTATTTCGCCACCGGAAGATGAATAATTCAGAAGAATATTCGAAGGTTTATCATGCGTCGAAGCTCGAGCAAGAGTAAAAGGCATATTCTTGCGTGTTTTGCATTCTTAAGAGCTGTTTTAGCCAATGAAATGCGTTAGAATTTTACGTTTGTCCTGCTCGCCTGAGTTGAGCAGGACTAAACTTCGGGCAAGCCACTCATTTTGCCTGCATGCAGGCAAAGGCTCGATATTCATTCAAAATAAGTTAAAATAACGTTAACTTACATAATGCATTTCTCTATTTAATTAAGAATTTCTGCGCAACGTGCTGAAGTTAAGAAAATGTAAGAACATATGTCAAGCTGGATAAAAGTGTTTTCTTTTAAAAACGAACTACTCTACTTGTCGGCCAATAAAATGGCCGCCATGCAATAGTTCGTTTTGAATCCGTAAAATATCTTTACCATCTCTCACGTTTTTGCAGTTGTTTTAACTCATTTACAGTAGAAAAATACCAAATGATTGTTTTGTAAGTTAGGGCCTGTTCATATGATCCCGCTTACCGGGAGGTCTCGCTTACCGAGACGAATATTTCCGTGCGTTCATATGGAGTATTTCGTCCCGCTTGCCGAGATGAAATTACATTGTAGTTCTATAATTAGCGTATCCAAAACTTCTACATTTCAGTCAAGCAACACAAATACTTAGCCATTTTAGTGTTTTTCTTCGTTTATTTACAAGAGAAAAAGTATTGCTTCAGGTGGTTATTTAATACTTGTTTACAAAACAAACATAAAACCAAGTAAAAAGTGTTAAATTAAACCGGCAAGACTTGTTTCACTTCATCCCGGTAAGCGGGCTGGCGTGTTCATATGGTAAAATTTTCATCCCGCCTACCTATGATCTCGGCAAATTCAAACGAGATCTCGGCAAGCGGGCCAGCTCGCTTTCTCATATGAACACAATGCAAAATTTTATAGGAAAATAGATAGGCGGCGAGATCATCCGTAAGCGAGACGTCCCGGTAAGCGGGATCATATGAACAGGCCCTTATTTTTTTTATTTTTTGGTCATTTTCACAAAACAATAGCCAAAGCCTGACAGACACTCTTTAAAATAATTGAAGGTTAATAAGTAGTGGAATTCTACCTAAATTATTTTTTCTCTTGGGTTGGATATACTACGATTTATGACTAATTACGGGAGTAACTCACACACTGTAAATATTCGGAAACTCATAATTACTATTGCAAACAATGCTACCTGAACGTCCTTGTCTGAGTTCGGTTAGGATTAGGCTTACGTTACCAGTAATGAAAGGCAAATATTTCTAGAATTAAATTAGGAGATAAATAGATATTGGGAGTTTAGCCTTAATTCTAATCACGCATACAGTCACGCATTCAGTCTCTGTGACTGCCATGTAGTGTTTTTAATAAATCTATCTATCTCATACATGCAACTGTAACAAAGTGTTGATGTTTGAAAGAATATTAAGACGTTCTTTTAATGTCTTTACAGATGCTTAGTTAATGAGCTTGATGGGACAAAACAGAAATTGCTTGAAACATTAAAAGATCAGGAAGGAATGCAAATGACACTAGACGATGTTTGTAAAGAAAAAAAATCGTTGGTGGAAGAAAATGCTTCGATCAAGAAGAAGGTAAAAGAATATATAGCCTTGGCTTCAGAAATGTTTACGGCAGATAATGATGTCATCTTGAAGGAAAATTCATCACTAAAAGATAACTTTAAGGAACTAGAATCTCTCAAAAGAAATATCGAGGCTTTGCAAAGTTCGTTACGTTTGGCTCATGAAGAGAAAATGTCTGCAATGAAAGACAACATAGCGATGAAAGAACAAATACGTGAGCTGGAACCTCTAGCAAAAGAATCTACAATACTTCAAGATCACATGACAGGTGTAAACGAGAAGCTACAAACTCTGAAAGAAGAAAACATACTACTTGAAAAGCAAGCGCAACAAATGATTAGTTTGTCTGAAGAAATGTCCGATTTACGCAACGCCTTGTGTATTTCTAATGAAGAAAAGCAATCTCTGCAAGAAATAAATTCTTCGCTAAAAGATGAGCTTGCCAAACTTAAAGTAGATTCGGGAGAATATAAAGTACTTGAAAATCGTTTTGAAGGTATGAATGAGGAAACATTGTTTCTGAAGAAAGAAAATGCAGATATGATAAAACAAACAGAATTTCTTTCAAGTCAATGTGTAAATCTGCGTCAATTATTAGACGTAGTCAGTAAAGATAAGCTCGCTCTTGAAGAAAGTAATTCGTTCCTAAAAGATGCTGTTGCTAAACCTAAGGCACTCTCAGAAGAACACAAAGTACTTAAGAGAGATTTCAATGTTCTAAATGAAGAAAAATTGTTGGTAGAGAAAGAAAACACAGATTTGAAGGAGAAACTGAAATACACGGAACATCTCTTGGGTGAATGTGCAGGTCAACGTCAAGTATTAGATGAGTCCAGTAAAGAGAAAGTGTCGATCACAGAAAAGAACGCGTTATTTACTGAAAAAGCGCAAAATCAAGTAATCCCACCAATGAAAGCTCCTGATAATGGTAACGTTGTTATCATAGAAACGAAACTTCAAGCGTTGTTGATGTCGAAGCTTGATGAGATCATGAGCAAATTGAAAGTGGCTTGTAAACAAGACAAACATATTTCTGTCGTTCGAGAGGATGATATTATCAACATTGAGGGTGAGTGGCTTTTGCCCCCATTAAAAATTAAATCGTTCTACGATTGCTAATTATGCAGCTTTAAGTCATAATTAAGTTGTGCAATTTTGATATCAAACAAACGTCAAGTGATATGGAGGAGCTACAAATAATATTTTATTCTATATCGTCTTAAATCTTTCCAATAACAACATATTAAAATTGACGTATGGAATGGTCTCGCATTTCGGTAATATTCGGTTGTTTATTTTAAGGTTACGGAGACACGTTGCGCGCGTCATTAAAAAAAGTTGAAGTTGAGGCCTGTGTATTCAACCAATTTACATGTAGCTCAGGTAGCTATAGGTTTTCTTTTTTCTTTTTATGATACAGTATATAACTTTTTTTTAAACGTCGAATGGCAATAAGTAAAAAATGAAAATGAAATCATAGCTACCGCACACACTTTTGTGCCCCTGGTTCTCGTGCGCCTTTTGTGAAAAATTGAAGAAAATTGGGCAATACCTGAGCTTAAACAAAAAATTTTGAATCTAGCCTTTTGTCTGAAAATTCATTACGCATAAACGAAGGCGTTAGGTTTCCGCGGATTTTTCGATTATCAGAGCAAATACACCACCCATTTCCTCATAACGACAGCAAGGTGACACCTTTTGAAAATAAACTGATTATTTTCATGGTAACCGTGCTTCAATTATATTCGATTATAAACGGGGTATACTGCATAATAGTAAGAGGCATTTGACAATCACCACAAAGTTTTACATCCTACTTAAGGCATTGAGGCCCGCACCGTGTGTCATGACCACCATGATATTTCAAACCAAGGGCTTACGACTTCTTCTGCTGTCAATCAAATTTTAAGCGTAAATATCTCGTTTTCACTTTATCAATAATTAATTTTCACCATATAAAAGATCTTGGGTTTAATAATAATTGGGTTTAAAAATGATGATTTTTGCCCCTCTCAACGTTGTCTCGTAACCTTAATTTGCCTACATATATTGGAATTCAACTTTATAATGTTTTATAAGAGCAAAAGGAAAATTGTTCAAATATGGTGTAATCCAAAAAGACAATAGTTTGTAATTTATATTTTAAACTCATTAATAATTCATGATAAATTAGCCAACCATATTGCTTTATTTTGCTCACATGATAATATTGGATACCTCGTGCAGTATAGATCCAGTCCTAGGATCAAAATTGATCCAGTCCTATCAAAATTGATGCAGTCCTTTGACTGGATAAAAATTAATTCACCTCACTTTAATTAAGTAGTGATTTATTCGTATGAGATGTCATTTCAAATCCTCCAATTTGGACTCGGCTTCACGTCGGACTTGATGAAATTGCGCAGACTTGAAATACTACATCTCAAACTCAATAATTCATGAGTAAATTAGGCAACCATATTGCTTTATTTTGCAGTGAAGTATATTGGTACAGTCCTAGGATTGGATCAAAATTCATTCAGTCCTTGGATTGGATCAAAATTAATTCACCTCGCTTCAAGTAGTTATTTATTCGTACGAGATGTCGTTTCCTCGGCTTCGCCTCGGGCGTGATCAAATTGCGCGGACTTGAAATCCAGTACAGTCCTCATAGTCGGATTTGAAACATTACATATAATCTTGAAAGGTCTGTGCCAGTGTAGGTAGTGCCAACAATGAATGCTTCGGATTAATAGGGATACAACTACCTGAAAGAATATATATATATATATATATATATATATATATATATATATATATATATATATATATATATATATATATATATATATATATATATATATATATGTATATATGTATATATATATACTCTTTTGCATTACGTTATAGTGAGTTAACTACACGTTTAGTGTCTGTTTTATGTTTGGTATTTCAGCCAATTGATTTCACATTTAAATTGATTTATTAGCTGACTTGGCAGAGTGTTATGCGAAGATTGCTGATCAGTACACAAAACACAAACAGAAAATAAACGATCATGAAAACTGTTTGGAAGTCGAACCAAGGATCAAGGAACAACAAAGAGCCGCGTTGGATGAAATGATCTCGAATGAGGAAATGGATTCTAAGATCCAAGAGCTTCAAAGCAAAATGTTTTTACTTCAGAAAGAAAATGAAAACCTGAAAGAATTCCAAGAAAAAAGTAAAGAAGAGATTCTAACTGAAAGAGCGAAAGTGGAGGGGCTGGAGAAAAATCTTACAGCTAGTGAAGCAGCAATGGAAAAACTAAACGATAACAACGTCGAGTTAGAACTGCGAATGCTGTCAGTGCAAGACCAAATTAATCAACTTCAGGAGGAGAAATTAAAAATGAAAGATTATATTCCCCAAGTGGAAGCAAAAGTTGTGGATCTTGACAAGAAGTTGTCTGAAGAAGAATTTATCAGTAAACGTTTGGCGGTTGAAGTTCGATCACTTGAGGCACAGTTAGCATACGCTGACAGACAATTACGACACAAAATAGAGACTGAAGACAATCAGAAGGTACCCCGGAGAAACTATGTAAACCCCAGCAGCCAGAATGTTCGCAAAATGTCTTTAGTTGCCGAAGAAACTTCTTCAGTGACTGAAAAATCCATTAGTATTACGGAAGACTCCTCTGTTGCGGATGATTCCAAAATCTCAGAACTTTCCATCATGTCAGAAAACAAAGATGTCTCTGTTGGCAATAGCCAGGAACACGTAAATAACACAAGCATGTTGTGTAAAAGCAAAAATGAGGAACGCGTGGATAATATAAACATGCTGTGTCAACAGGAAGAAATTCTTAAAAAACTGCGACGTCGCAGTGCTGTATATTCACAAAAGAATTCACGGAAATCTGAGACAAACGACAAGAGACGTTCTACAATCGGCACAGAATCATTCGTTGTGGGACAGTTCTCCAATACAGTTGCAGATGAACCTGACGAGCATGATTATGAATGGGATCGTATTTTAGAATTAAAGGAACGCAATTCTATTTGCGCACGACACCTGCGTTCATCTTATCCCGTCGAAACACAAGTACACTTGAAGGAAGAAGTCGAAGAAGAAGATCTGAAGTCAGGACGATATGCCACAACTCAATTTCGGAAACGCCTACGAGATAACGTGAGTGATAGTAGTATATTCACTACTTTTGATACCACTCGTTGTCTACCGAGATCTAAGTCTGAAAATGCGTTTGGAAAACTCAATTCACGCGAGTCAAACGATGAGAATGAACATTTACTCAGCTCGTCATCTTTCCCTGATCAGGAAAACCTTGAAAACATCGAGCAATATAATCGACGAGAAAGTATTGCATTCAAAGTGGACATCACTCCGGCAAAGAAACCACGGATGTCTTTACGACCTCGCATGCCGCGTGCTTTTGGAACTGAGAAAAAGGAAACAGTGAGAAATAAGAGCAAGATGAAGCCTGCACAACAGACTTCAAAGAAATTTACTTTACAACGAAAACCGAGCTCTGTGAAAGAGGGGGGCAAGAAACCACAAAGGACCAGACGCACTAACCTCGCAGTTTAGTGTTGTATAATTATTTTGTTTGGCTGTGTAAATATTTAAACTTTGTTTTTGCATTATACTTCTTGTGTCAGATATTTAATAATCTACTGTATTAGTTTAGACTTGTGGGCTTTACAGTTTCATTATCACGTTTTAAAGTCGTAGTTGGGAGACTTTCCGTGTTTCCATACAGTTACAGAAACACGCTTCTTGGCCCAATCCACGTTCGCGTACTGTAAATGTTATATTATTAGTAGATCGGACATTTTTATCGAAAATTTCAGTTGCATAATTATTTTAAGAAATGTAAGTATACTTCACTCAAAAGACTCTTGTTAATGTTATTATGCTTTTTTCGTTGTGGTATGTTGGCTTGCCATCCGAATGGCTTCCGATAACAGATATCCAGGCTACTTTGAACACTATAATGTAATGTTCGTGGTTTTGTATGAATATCAAGCACTTTTAAGTATAACAATAGATATCAAACAACTTGTACAAACAGCATAGTACGTATCCAATTACTTCCCGGTTCCCTAG